GAAAAATAATTTAAAAATTGACTCAAATTCATTTGCAAAGACACGCTCTTTGATATAGTGCGTTGGAGTTTATTCATAATTTTTATTTAAAATTTCTTGAATTCGTCAATTGTAAATACATACATTTAAGTTCTTCTCAAATCTTAATTACATTTTTCACATCCTACAATAAATTTTAATAAAAAATTCTATGTAAAAATTACGTGGGTCAGGATTTATTAACGCGATTATAAGTGGAGGCTATATAAATAAATAGACATATGTATGTACCATATGTATGTATATAGAAATTGCTTGAAAATACATAAACATTTGTCAATAAATTAACAACACACCATACATACATATGTACGTACACTGAATAATTTATGTCCGTCCGTCTGTCCGTGTGTCTGTTTACAAAACTTCTACACCCTTGAAGATAGAAAGCTGAAATTTTGTACGTACATAGAGTTTTACCAGAAACTTATTTTTGTAGAACAAAATTTTTATCTATCTCCCCCTCCTTTAGAAATTATACCCCCCCCGAAACCCTAAAAATGCCATTCTTTAACTATTTAGTGCAATGAAACCATAAGGATTTTTCAAATTTTGCAAACGCAGAAAGGCAGTGGCTTGCTTCCCCTAGCGGGGTGTACTAAAGGTTAACTTTAGAAAAACAAAATGGCCGCTCAAATTTACCGTTATGTAAAGTCCGTTTTTTCCAAATTTTTGATGTCGTTTATTTTCTAGACCCTAACCTGTAGAATATTGAAATTTTATGGGCTTTTAGACATTAACAAATAGTTCATTTCGTTGGAAGAAAATTTTTTTCCATCTCCTTCCCCTCTCAAGTTATTGCCTCTTGAAATTTGTAAAATTTGAATTTTTGACACCTTATATTTCCGAAACCGCAAGCTTTTTCAAATTTCTATAAACACAAAAAGCTAACGGTAAATTCCATGACATTAAAAAATATAATTATTTTTCTTAACTCACATAATTAAACCTTAAAATCGAGCATTATGTTAACCCCACTTTATATTAATTTTTGCTTTATTTCAAAGACTGCATAAATCGTTGATCCTAAATATATGCAATCCTAGAAAAAGTTTTGTATATGAATGAAAATAATTTTTAGAATGTGTGATAGGTATACATAGACTGTATTTAAAAGCAGAATTTTCACTTGCTGAAGGGAAAAGTGCTACAATACAAACCATTGGTTTGACCCAACTTTATTAATTCACAATTTTATGAGAACTTGTGGCTTGGCGTCACAGATAGTTGACAATTAAATTTCATAGAGTTATTAAAAAATTAAAAGATTGTATACATGTATCATAAGGGAAATAATAGCTTTTTTATTTTACGTCGTGCGTACGTCCCTCACATAAATTCTATATTTATATAAATACACATACATATATATGTATGAATACATACATATACGAATTCTACAGTGTACAGAATATAGGAAAGGCTAAAAGTAAATATATTACAGAGTCTTCTTAATTTAACACTTAATCAAACCTTTCTTAAGTTTATTTAAATATGTATTATAAAATTAATTTTTATTTCATTAAATTTAGACATCAATTACTTTAAATTAATTTCCATCCTTTTAGAAAAAAAATTATTTTTTTTTCCCGTAAACTAAATTTACTTAACTTAATCTCATTATTTTTGATTATTTTTATTATCACAAAATCATTTAGAAATCCGGTATTCTATTGCATATTCATTACATGTCAACTTTGTGCTGGAGCTGTTATAACATAAAATTCTAAGGTCCAATTCGTATGACACTAAAAATATGCATTAATTTAATTGCATCACAATAAATGTTTGTCCATACTTCAAGAAAATCTATCTTATTTAGAAGAAGTTTCTAAATATCTAGTATCTGAAAAACTGTCTCAAAATAAAAATGTAAAGAATACACAGAGTAAACTAAAACAAAAATATAATAACTTAATAAAGTTTCTATTAGATTAACGTAATAATAAAAAAATTTCTACCATAATTGGGTCTGCAGAAAATTCGAACACAATATTTTAGTACCAATGATTATACACTGTAAGATCTAACTATGACATTTTAGTAACACTCTGTACGATGTAAGTTATATGATTTTACGGGAAACACTGTCAACACAATTGAGAAACTTATGTACATATGTATGTATACATGTAGCATAAATGGTTAACATCTTCGTTTTTCACTTTTTTATTACTTTGACCCTCATAAATTTTAAAAGAAGGACATCTTTATTGTTCGCCTGCTCTTAAATTATTTTTTAATTTGATTATATTATTTTTTATTTCTAAATTGTTTAGTGACTTTTACTCTTCGCCTTCCCCCAAATTATAGAGACAAAATAATAAAGAATTAAAAGTCTACAAGAAATGGTTTTTACATTTTTTTTTTGTTTTCTTTTTTCACACTCTTGCCCTTAATTTTCCCATTTTTGTTTTATTATTTGGTGTGTTATCTCACTTATAGTGTTATAAAATAAAAATTAGGAAGATTTATAAATGCGATTACATAAATGTATCTAAATCTATCTATTAGTAGGTATGAACATTGTATGTATCTATAGACATTTACATAAATATTATACCTATATGTAATACATTTTGGTATTTTCATCAAAAAAAATTTATATTCATAGTGATCATACGCCCTCTATTTTGACTGATTGTCCACTTTAATAAATCTATTCTGTTTGTGATAACCTTCTTCAAAGCGTGTCATCATTTATAATAATATGCTTTCTAACTTGAAAAAACTGAAAGCTTTATTAGTGATAATATTTGTCGAATTTACCCTCATGCGTACAATAAATTTTTGCAATATTTTTTAATTTATGTGTTATTATAAAGTAAGTTGTCTCTTTATTGAAAATCTGATCTTATAAACCAGAAAACATGTTAAACAAGTTTGGATCAAGCTTAAAATTGTACTAAAGTAGATAAGTAAAATTGAACTATAAGAGAAGCAAATTGTACTAAAAAGTGCATTAGTCATTAATTATTTTATTCCGTTGGAATAAAAAAAAATATGGCACAATAATATAAATATAAGGGTATATTCTGGAAGCTATATTATTAGGGTATACATGATTTCAATAAATTGCTATCGAATTTTTCAACTTTTTTTATTGCCTTTTTCCTTTGACTTTGTTCTAAAATAATTTTATTTTGCGGTGTTTTCAATCTTGATTAATTGCTATCTAAGCTTATAAGCTTATATATGTATGTACATATATAATTGTTAACCACCTTGATTAATTGCTATCTAAGTTTTTAATATGTTTACCTATTTTTCTTAATTTATATATTATGATATTCCACATACATATTTAGGTAGGTTAATACTCACCATCTCCAAATGAAAATAACTAGAACGATTATTCTTTTAATTTTACTATTTAACCGGCTAATGAAACTTTTGCTACATATATCTACATACATATGCATGTACATAAGTATATTTTTATATTTCACATACTAAATTCAATACACATACTTATGTATATGTATGCATGATCACTAATCAAAATTAATTTAATTATTCATAATACTAAAACAACAACTTAAAATTTAATTATTAGTAACACTTTTTTAAATTTTCGTTTTTAAATTAATTTTAAATTATGCACTTCGATCACAACACAATCGCAGCCAGTCTTATGCCACTAGGTGCGTCATATTTTGCCACGTCGGATTTATTTTGGTATTCTTATAAACATGAAATGTTAGGTGACAGAAGAAGCGAGACTCGAATTTTTGTAACATAAAAAAATGTTAAAATTAGAAAATTGTTTTTAAATAAGCTGACAGACAAAAGTATAAATAACAAAATATAATAAATTAAAAGATGGATTTGAGCTGCTTTTGGTTTTCTGGTGAGGTGATAAGAAAATGAAGAAAATGAATTTTCCATTAACTCGATTAATATATGAAATAGCTGCCGGTCAGTTATGTTTACACTAAAATGAATAAAATTACTAAGTATTGTTATTGAAATATCAAAATATGTATACTTACATACAACTTCTCCATTTCCTTTAATTTTTATTTTAAAGCAACTTTTATATCTCTGTCGACAAGAATAACATTATACACGCTTTTTGTAACAAATTGTATAATAACAACGCACGTCTAGTGGAAGAGTAAGTTCGTCAGCTCATATTTATATTAGCTACGCGTCTTTTAGAATAAGACTAATTTATATGTACATATGTGCATGTACGTGCTTAAGTAATTCCAACAAAATATACGTACATAAATAGCATCAAAACAATAGGACAAACAAAGGATCAAATTTCTAAGGTAAATGTTGAAGAACTGTTTCCACGCGATTTGTATAAGTATAAAATTTTTATTTTAATTCTAAAAAATTGAAAATGAATAAACTACTTTTATTAGCAAAATATTTTAATGTAATTTTTATTCACCTGAAAAATCAAATCTCTTATGCAATGCAACTTCTTCACTAACATACTTTATACATACATACATCAATTAAAGATTTTTCTTATGCCTAGTTTGAAAAAATATTGCAAAGCCCTTTATTTAAAGAACATCGTAATATGATTACTTCTAAGATGTGTAAATGGCACTAAAATTTTTTAGTCAAAACTAAAAATATAGTATATTTAGAATTCAATTGCGTTAACATTAATCCAACAATTTTGTGAATGAATTCATAACTAGTTATTTTTATATTTTAATAATCTTTTTTCTATATTTTTCAAACACCAACGATTACTTCATTTTAAAGCCTTTTTTACAAAAAAGTACATGTATTGAAAAACATTTTATTTGCTCAGATATATCTTTAACTAAAATATAGTATATTTAGAATTCAATTGCGTTAACATTAATCCAACAATTTTGTGAATGAATTCATAACTAGTTATTTTTATATTTTAATAATCTTTTTTCTATATTTTTCAAACACCAACGATTACTTCATTTTAAAGCCTTTTTTACAAAAAAGTACATGTATTGAAAAACATTTTATTTGCTCAGATATATCTTTAACTAAAAATTATTCTTTATTCAATTTGCTTTAATACTAAGTTAATAACATACATATTCATATTAATTTTAATTTCAAAAAATTAAAAACAAAAAAAAATATTAAATATTAAATAAGAAATAAGAAAATAATTCACTGTTCTGGTTCTGCACAATGCGGATTATTTTTAAATTTCGTTAAAATAATTAATTTTACTTGTATGAGTCTTAACAGTTCATTGGTATAGTGATAGCATCTTGTACGCTCTTTCATTATTTTTAAATAATGATTTTTGAGACACTCAATTTCATATTCCAATTCCAGATTCTCAATTTTTTTACGTCTTCTATAAATACGACATAAAATAGTATTTTGATCCCTTCTTAACTGGTCTTTTGCAGTTCTGGTTTTTGTTTTAAAGCTTCGAACCATATTTGAGTGATATTTTAATAAATCTTCAATGTATGCTGACTCAGAATTTATACCTTCGAGCAGAGAATCATTTGCTTCATTTAATACTGTAGTTTGAATGCTATCTGAATTGTACTTGTTTAAATTTGTAGTCAAATTTAATCCGACATTGTTGAAATGATTAGCAGTCTGATTTAACCCAATGTTGTTGAAAATATTGCCAGTTCTATTTAATCCAATATTGTTAAAATGATTGTTTCGACAATTAATACCCTTATTACACAAAAATAAACGTGACATATTGTATGGAAATGACATTAGTGGGTGAAAAGGGGATTTTATTTGTCCATTGCAAGGGAATACTTGAGGTAACTTGAATTCTTGAACGAACACGCAATCTTCATCAGCTTTCTCAGTCTCTGTTTCCACTGGCGGTACAGGCTGACCTATACGCTTTTTCCCAAATTTTTTATGCAAATAATTATTGAAATCATCCATTGGGTTCTGAAATTCCTGTTAAACAAGTATTAATTTATAACTTTATCGAAAGTAATATGCATTTACCAATTTTATATATTCAATAGAAATTATTACTCACCAAATTCCAATTCGGCAAGAAAATTTGTAATATTTATTTTAATTTTCTTAAATTTCGTTCAAGAATGTAACAAGAATTCAAGAAATAAATTTAACATTCAAGAATATAAATTTGATGCGAACTTCATCTCAATTTGTAAACTGAAAAATTCCAACAAATTGAGCCGAGTCTAACCTTTTTTCATTTCTGACATACAAAATAACAGTTTTTTTCAAAAGTAAACACAACAAATGTGCTTACAGTGTTGTCGCCTGTCAACAATTTTTTACTCCAATATTAAAATAAACTAATGATTGTGTACCAAATTAATCTCGTTTGACAGAAGTTAGCAAAAGAATGGAACTTACAATAATAATTATTAAAACGCTACAGAAACTTGCTTTTAAATTGTACAAAAATTTTATCATGATTTTCACACTGTACATAGCGAACTTTAATAAGTAAAAATAATTTATTCGTTAAAAAACTGGAAAATTAAAATGCTAATTTATTCCAAAAACATAACTGAAATTTGTGGTGATAATTTCGTTTGATTCAGGTCAGACCCATTTGAATATGTATTTTATGAATTCTAACATTTTGCCGCGGAAAATCGCTTTTATTCTGTCTTCAACTTAAAAGTGTGAAAATGTATCTCCAAACTAGTGCTCGTTTTATACAAACTACAAATTTCAACACAATTAAACCTTTATTACTTATTACTTAACGCTTGTCTCGTGATCGTATTTGAAAACAGAATTTTTCGGAGAAAAATTCAACTTGATTATAATTTGACTGCTGTCATTCCTTAGCTTTTTCTCTGTCATTTAATGTATTAGTTTTCGTTTATAAAAAATAAATATGGATAGTGCAAATTAATTATCAATACTTTTCAATTATTTAATCAAACATATTAGTAACTATACGTTAGTGCAACATTTTTTGACGAATTTATATCAAAATTTTCATAATAAATTGGAAATTTATTATGAAAATTTTAAACTAACAAATGAAATTAAAATCTTCTTTAAATTCTGAATTCCAATGTATATTTTCATATTAAATACTTAATTAATTTAATTAAAGCTATTTATTTGATTTATTTTAAATTAATCTTAACAAATACTCTTAAATAAAAATTTTTATCATTAATTAAAATTTATTATTTGCTATTCCATGAAAGTGTTAAGATTTTTCTTTAATACTTCATAGCATAAAATAATCGTTTTGATATTTTCATACTGGATTTGTTTGTTAACAAATTGATTCATAAGTATTCTGTTATTGTAATACAATAAGGTATATATATGTATGAATGTAAATACACCAACATAAAACATAAATACGGTATTTAATTTGAGTCTACAATAATACTCATGCCTAATTATATTAAAATATGCAAATTTTATGAGGATTCATAATTTATACAGCAAAACTATACTACAACAACGTGAATATAAAAATTCTCTTACATTTTGTATGTATGTATGTATAGGCACGTTATGTACGTTTAAAAAAAGCATGGAATTGCAATTTAATACGAAAATGAATTTATTTCATGTGAAATTACATGAAAATCTTATTAATTATATTAATTGTATACAGACAAATTAAAATTAAGTAATATTTAACCAGACAATGGATAGTTAATACACCTATAGATAACTTCAGAATACGTAATATGCATTTTGGAATAAGAGAACGCAGCAATTTATTAATCATATTTCACAATTAAGAGTAGTGGATTGCTGAATTTATGAAATTTTTTGAATAATGATTTCTGTTTAATTTGAATTGCATTTTTTAATTTTATATTACGAATTATAAATCTTTATAATATATTGAATATTTCGGTGTTTTATTGTATAGTTTAAAAAAGTTAATTAGACTCAATTAAATTTCGAATAAAAATTATTTCACCAATTTATGGTATAAGATAAATATTTTTTGAAATGTCTTTCTTACTCAAATTTTTCAAATGACAATTTTATAAAAATTTGTATATAAAAAGTGGAATTTATGTACAGTGATGATCACACTTAACTTAGCTTATGATATCTTAATTATGTTCATAAACAACCTAATTATTCACTAACTTTTCCAGTCACCTTTTTTGTTCATTTTTAAATCAGAATTTTGATTTTTTTAGATTATTCAATTTTAAATTATTTTTTTTTCATTTTTCTAAAAATATCGACTGTCATCTTCAAAAACAAGCAGAACGAATTAGATATAGATTTTGGGAGAAGAAAATTTGATATATGTATGTATACGAAATAACAAGAGAATTTTCTCACCTAAAAATTATGTTATACGAACATGTCATACTTACCCAATTTCTTCTTATCCGATAAGAAAAAAGGCGAGACACATAATCTAGCCCTAAATCTCTCAAAATTACTTTTTACAAAGAACATCGCTTTGAATATGTGTACATACATATATTTAAATCCAACCCCGTTTTTAAATTTTCAAGTTTATATGCTTCTAATGAAATTGTGTTTATATTTATATCGTGCGTTCATTCTACTTAAATATTTACAGCCAAACTCATTCTGAATGCCGAAATTTAAAAAAATAAAGATAATATAAAAAAAAGTACATATAACTCGAATATCTGTGTATATATCCCAACAACAAAAACAAAAATTATTTTTTTTTGTCTAATCTCCCCACTTTACCTGGTTTTTTTTTTGTGTGCGATTGTTTTTAGATCCTTGTCCATGTTGGAAAATAATTAAATAACATTAATATTTTACGTGAAAACTGTGTATATATTGTTAAATGATAAATAACGTATAAATATAAATAAAATTTGTAAAAATGATTAACTTTGTCAACCAAGAGATATCTAGGTTATTTAACAGATAACCCACATATTTCAAATTTCATTTACAATACAAATTTCTTTGAAGCATTATACATTTTTGAATTATCTTGTTGTTTAAGAAACAAACTGGAAATTTTTTCAAGGATACAGAGACTTATTTTGTATTTTTTCAAATAGAACAATTTAATATTCCAGTTCCGTTTAGCACACGAAACTTTAAAAAACTTTTCATTTCAATTGAGTTCCAGAAACCAAACCACTATGAAGAATCAAGTTTTTGGGGGTAATAATAAGAGCTTATTGATTTTCTTAATATGCGAAATAAATATAAAAAAGAAATTTTCACAATTTCATGTAACCCTTTTGCTTAACTAATGGAAGTATATGGCATTTGTTGACATTTTATTTTTTTTATAAGAAAATATTCTACTTGCTCCGCATTGTTTTTGTAAATATCTGGCAAGTTTAGATATTATAATGAATTGGATTATTAAATGCATTTAAAATTAGGGTAAAAAGTTCGACTGATTTACAATTCCTTCTATTTTACATAGTGCATTGCATACAACAAGGAAGGTGTTATTTTGTTACCAAATTTCATATGTCAAAAATTTAACGTCTGATCGTCTATCTCGCTATTTTACTCGGAAAGTGAGAAGAAAGTGAGTAACTGTCATATACTTGTATAATGCAATTTTTGAGTGAGAAGAATCATACAATATTGCGTATCTCGTTTTTTTAAAAATTGTATACAAAAATTTTTCAATCTGTTTTTGAAAGTTAAACATTCAGTCAATAATTTGAGAAAAAGTGCTATAATCCAATTAAAAAAATGAATAATCTTATTGGAAAAGTTAAACACCCATTAGAAAATACTTATAATTCTGATTTGATAAATTTCCATTTTTTACATGTTAAGGGTTGATTACAATAATAATTACCAATCGGCTAATGCTGTCGTTTAAATTAAGAAAAACATATTAAAAATGTGAATATGTGAAAAATTTTATTGATTACGATATTACAATTTTAAAATCATTAATACATAGACCCAATTAATTAACAAAATAACTGATTACTTAATATAAGCAAAACTATTTCTAATATTATTTGATAAAGTGTGTATATTACAAACGAAATAAGGCATTACGATATTCATTAACTCACTATTTAAGGTAACTTTTTGTAAAGCAATTTTCTGCTGTCAGAATATATTTGAATTCTATTATGTTTTATATTCCAATTTTTTTTTACAACACAAGCATACATACATAGGTACTACCAATTCTTCTTATACCCATTTAATATTATAAAAATAAAGATCATGTGAAATTTTAGAAATTAAATAGTTTAATGTCATCGGACAACACACACAAACACATATAATAAACGAAAAGAGAGCATTTAACAAAAAAAAAGAAAGACAAAAGAGCAAAACAACAAAGACACAAAAAGGACCCACAACACGATATTATTTAAAAACATAATGAAATTCCATTCTAAGGCATTTTGTCAGCTTTAACTTGACAATAGTAATTTGTTTCTTGAATATTTTAGTATTTTTTCATGTTCATTCTTAATTTTTATATCTTTCTTTTCTTGTTCCTGTTATTTTTGCTATAATCTTTTTTTCATTTTATTCATTTTCATTTTATATTTATCGTTTCTTGTGCTTATTATAAAAAATTGCATATAATTTGGTGTGTATGTGTGTATGTTGGTAGGTAGAAAAACGTATAACAATATAAATTATGTCCTTTTAAAGTCTAGTAAAAAAATTTTTATGAAGCGGTCAAAATATTTTTCCGAAAGCTCTTAAATTCTACTTTTTTTGTTTTCTTTGTTTTTGCGTTTATTCTTCATAAACAAATTAAACAGAAACAAAAGACAAAACAAAAATAATTTTCATATATAAAAATAATCTATGTATGTATGTATATTTCAAAATTTTTATATCATTCAATAAGGATTTATTCCCGTAAAATATAATCTAAAAAAAAAAAATTGTCATTTTTATGTCAAAATGAGATAGAAAGTTGAAAATACGATATAGATAATTAGAAAAAGAAAGTACGTTTACTGAATTTTTTTTTGTACACTCATCCCCAATTGGCAAAATACGGAATTTTGTTAAAATGGCATAAAAATGATATGCGGCGAATTATTAATGTTTATTAATCAAAAAAAAGTTCTCTAATTTTTAAATTGTTAGTATAACAGTAAGTCTTCAATTTTTCCGGAAGCCTCGCTCCTCCAATTTTTTTATAATAGCAAAATACATATTCAGTAGCGCATTGTTTTTTACAATTTTTAACCTAATTATTTATTTTTTAAAAATTTAATTCAAT